GTCCACTAAGGGCTCACCATAGCCCGTGCTACTTGGAACTTAGTGTTCCAAGTAGCTGAATCTAAGACAAACATTCTAAAACTTGCAAGACAGACGAAAATGTCTTGTACTGTGTTTAATACGCAGACCAAATATGTATTGTATCAATGGTGCCATACAAGGTGTTACTAAAGTCATTCTAGTATAGTGGGGGCCTTGACAGCTGAGTGGACAGCGCTCGGGATTCGTAGTCCTGAGGCTCTGGGTTCCATCCCCGGTGGAGGCGGAAACAAATAGGCAAGCTTTTTTTCCATCCTGATGCATCTGTTCACCAAGTAGTAAATAGGTACCTGGGAGTTAAGACAGCTGCTACGGGCTGCTTCCTAGGGATATGTGTAACAAAAAGGAGGCCTGGTCGAGGACCGGGCCGTGGAAACGCTAAGCCCCGAAATTATCTCAAGATAACCCCAAGAAGAAGAAGACGTTGTGGGAGAAATAACTTGTGATATACATGGAATTTTATCACCATCAACACCAAAACCACCATCACAGTTATATCATCACCTCCGTCTTCACTATCATCACCATCAACTGCAACCACCACCACGTCGTCACCACACTATCACCATCACCATCATCTGAACACGGGGTGGGGGAGGGGGGTAGTGGGGGAGGGGAGGTGGTGTTCGCCCAAGATCGTGACCAGACCCCAGGTTATGGTGTTGGCTGCCTGCATCCCGATCCATGAGAGAGAGTAATGGCTTCTGACTTCGGCTTTGTTTAATTGTATCTTGCATTACCTAGTTGTATTGTATTAATTATTATCTTTTTGCAATTATATCATCTAGTATTGTATCATATTGTATTATTATTACCTAGTTGTATTGTCTTGTTTATTACCTAGTTATATTGTATTATAATAACCTAGTTGTACTGCATCATTTATTACCTAGTTGTATGTATTAAATAATTATATTTATTAAATAATTATATTATTTATTAAATTATTTATAACGTAGTTTTCTCTGAATTATTACATATAATTATTGTGTTGTTTATTAAGTATAGTTATTGTTTAATTTATTATTGATTTTGTTTGAGTATATTCCCGCCAACCCTTCAGTGCTGTATAGCTTCTGATTAACTATTTCATTAATCAATTTTTCGG